ATACCTCCTAGACCACAGAGGTACAATCATGTGAAAATAAAGTATACCCTCTTTCAGTTCTATGGTTTTACATATCAGGACATAATAAAAATCATCTGGTCTCCATTTTGGTTTTATTTTTGTAAAATAAATCAGGACACATAAGAATATAAGAAGAGCCCTGTTGGATCAGGCCAAGGGCCCATCTAGTCCCAGCTTTCTGTATCTCACTGTGGCCTCCACCAGATGCTTCTGGGAGCACACAAGACCACAGATCCCTGTCTCCTGATACCCCTCCCCTGCATCTGGCATTTTGAAGTACCTTCCTTTTAAGCCTGGAAACTATACATCCCCATCATGGCTTGTAATCTGTGATGGACTTTCCCTCCAGGAATCTGTCCAATCCACTTTTAAAGGCATCTAGGCCAGATGGCATCACTACATCCTGTGGCAAGGAGTTCCACAGACTAAAAACATGCTGGGTAAAGTAATTTTTTTTGTCTCTTCTCAATCTCCCAACACTCAATTTGAGTGGCTGTCACCTGGTCCTGGTATTGCATGAGAGGGAAAAGAGCTTCCCTCTATCCACTTTAACCATCCCCTGCATAATTTCATATGTCTCAATCATCAGGCGCCATTTCCCTAAACTAAAGAGCCCCAAATGCTGTAGCCTTTCCTCATAAGAGAGGTGCCCCAACCCAGTCATCACTTTGCTCACTCTCTTCTGCACCTTTCCCAGTTCCATGAAGTCTTTTTTGAGGTGCGGCAACCAGAACTGTACATAATACTCCATGTGCAGCCTTACCAGCGTTTTGTACAATAGCATTATAATGTTGGCTGTTTTATTTTCAGTCCCCTTTTTAATGATACCTAGCATGGAATTGGCCTTCTTCACTGCCACCGCACACTGGGTTGACACTTTCATTGAGCTGTCCACCAGCACAGATCTCTTTCCTGATCCATCACAGACAGCTCAGCTGATAAATAAAGTTTTGATTTTTTTGCCTCAATGGGCATTACTTTACATTTTCTTATACTGAAACAAATTTGTCAATTTGCCACCCATTCTCTCAGTTTGGAGAGATCCTTCCGGAGCTCTTCACAATCCTTTCTGGTCTTCACCACCCGGAAAAGTTTCGTGTCATCTGCAAACTTGGTCACCTCACTGCTTATTCCTGTCTCCAGGTCATTTATGAACTGCAGTGGTGCCCTGCATGACGACGATAATCTGTTCCAGGAAAATCACTGTTAAGTGAAATCATCGGCATACAGGGGGAAAATCCCCATTGGAATGCATTGAAAACCGGTTAATGCGTTCCAATGGGGAGATTACCTCGTCGTCCAGCGAAGATCCTCCATAGGACGGCCATTTTGTGAGTGCCGTTCTTCTGTTTTTAATCACTGTCTTCCGAAACAAGGGTTGGAAAACAGCAGGAAGCCATTTTGAAAACCCAACAATCAGCTGAAAAGATCATCGTCCAGTGAAAAAACGATTCCTGAAGCAGGGAACTAATCATCGTAAAGCGGATTTTCCCCATTGGAACCATCATTTTACAGTCGCTATAGCGATCGTAAAAAAGTCGTCGTGCAGTGATTTCGTTGTGCAGTGGGGTCATCGTAATGCGCGGTATCACTGTGGTTGAAAAACACTGGTCACAGAAAAGATCCCTGAGGCACACCGCTCTTCACCTCTATCCATTGTGAAAATTACCTATTGACACCTACTCTCTGTTTCCTGGTTCTCAACCAATTCTCAGTCCATAAGAGCACTTGCCTTCTTATCCTCTAACTGTGGAGTTTTCTCAGCAGCCCTTGGTGAGGGACCATGTCAAACACCTTCTGAAAATCCATATGGACAATATCCACTGGTTTGCCAGCATCCACATGGCTGTTGAATTTTTAAAAGAATTGTAAAAGGTTTGTGAGGCAAGACTTACCCTTACCTTTCCCTCAGCAAGGCTTGTTCTTCTGTGTTTTAAGGTTTTATCTTGGATGAGGCTTTCCACCATCTTCCCTGGGACAGACGTTAACAGGCCTGTAGTTTCCCAGGTCCCCCCTCCTTCATTTCTTAAAGATTGGTGTGACAGTCCTCTGGCACTGTGGCTGTTTTAAGGGCTGTTTTATTTTAGTTAAGAGATCAGTAACTTAATTCCTCAGTTGCTTAATAACCCTTAGATGGATGCCATTTGGGCCCAGTGACTTATTGATCTTCAATTTATCAATTAGGTCTAAAACATTCTCTCTTAACCTGTATCTGATTTAATTCATTAATCAGGAGGGGCCGGTCAGTCAGCGGAATCTGCCCAAGGTCTTCTGGCGTGAAGACAGATGTGAAGAACTCATTTCATTTCTCTGCAGTCTCCAAGTCCCCCTTTACCTCCCCTTTACCCCTCTCACCATCCAGAGGACCAGCTGCTTTGCTGGCCATACATTCCTCAAAGTCTTTCTTTTCTTTCTGTATCATCTTCTTACATGTCTTTTGCCAAAATTTGTGTTCCTTTTTATTTTTCTCATTTGGGAAGGATTTCCATTTACAGAAGGACCCCTCCTTGCCCTTTAAAGCCTCCCTAACTCTGCTCGTTAACTATGTTGGCACCCTCTTGGCTTTAGTTGAGCACTTCTTTCTTTGCAGTATACACTTCTGCTGGGCCTCTACTACTGTTGTTGTAAACAGGCTCTGTGCAGTCTGAAGAGATTTACAGTGGTGCCTCACCAGACAAATTTAATTCGTTCTGCGATTAATGTTGTCTTGCGAAAAATTCATCTTGTGGAATGCGTTTTCCCATAGGAATGCATTGAAGTCTAATTAATGTGTTCCTATGGGCAAAAAAAGGCAGAACAAAGTTGCATTTGGTTTACAAAGGGTTTATTAAGTACTCTTTAAAGCCATTCATATTGTGCAAATGATTTAAAAAATGTCAATCAAAAAACTTTAACTTTTTAAACATCCTAGAAAAACATTTAAAAATCAGCAAACATGAGGCAGGAACAAAAAACGGAAAACATTCATCTTGCGAAGCAGGGCCATAGGAACATTTGTCTTGCGAGTCCTCAATCCCATTGCCAAAACCATTTGTCGTGTGAGGTGTTTTTTTTTGTCCTGCAAGGCATTTGTCTTGCGAGGCACCACTTTACTTCTTTTTACCTTCCCTTTCAACTTCTTTCTAACTAGTTTCCTCATCTGAGGGAAGTCCGCCCTTTGGAAATCAAGGGTTTTTGTGTCAGATTTGCTTGACACTCTTCCCCCAACATGCACTGCAAAAGAAACTGCAGTATAGTCACTATTCCCTAGCGGCTCAGTGACATTCACGTCCCTAACCATGTCCTGAGTACCACACAATGTTAAATCCAGAGTCACCTGTCCTCTGGTGGGCTCCATGACAAGTTGCTCCAAAGCACATTCATTTAGCATGTCAAGAAACCCAGTCTCTCTTTCTTGACTCAAGCACACACTGACCCAGTCAATGTGAGGATAACTGAAGTCCCCCCCATGATTGCAATCCTGTCCCTCTTGGACACCTCCCTGATTTGTCTCCCCATTTCAAGGTCCCCATCAAGTTTTTGATCTGGAGGACGATAACAAACCCCCCACTACCACACCGCTCCTTGGGCCTGGCAGTTTAACCCACAGTGATTCTATGATGGAGTCAGATCCGCCGTCGATCTCCATTCTGCTGGATTCTGGCCCTTCTTTGACACAGATGGCCACCTCCCTCCCTTTCTGTCCCCTTGGCTTTCCCTAGGAATTCAGTTTAAAGCTGCTCTGCCACCTTTTTAATGTCACGCACCAGCAATCTGGTTCCATGTTTGTTCAAGTGAAGTCCGTCCCTCTTGTACAGGCCCGGCTTGTCTCAAAACGTTCCCCAGTGCCTAATGAATTTAAACCCTTCCCCTGATCCCACTGTCTCATCCATGTGTTGAGACTCCTGAGCTCCGTCTGCTTAGCTGGCCCTGCATGTGGAACAGGTAGCACTTCCGAGAAAGCTACCTTTGAGGTCCTGGCTTTGAGCTTCCTCCCTAACAACCTAAATTTGGCCTCCAGGACCTGGTGGCTACATTTCCCCACGCTGATGGTGCTGATGCTGTTGATACCTCATTGCCAGCATTCTATACCAGCCTATCCAGGCAAGATGTGATGTCTGTAACCTTTACACCAGCCTTTCTCTCTCCTTTAACTCACACAGCTGCTAAACTCGCTGTGTCTTCTAACCCTGCACTTTGCTGCAGTGTCCCTGCGGGAGGCACATGCGCTCAAGCAATATGTCTTGTGTAATATGCCCCATGTTGTTGTTCATCTGAAGTTGTAATTAACTAATTTTCAAACCTGATAAGGACCAGATTATTTTTATTGTGTCCTGATATGTAAAACTACAGAATTCAAAGAGAGTCTATTTTCTTTTTCATGTGACTGGATGTGTTACCTTAAGGCCAATGAAGTTTTCTTCACAAAGGGCCACAGCACTTGCTAACAAATCCAGGTCCTGCCATCTCTGTCTGATGTAGCTGCTACTCAGCAATGGTTGGCAGGACTAATCTGATCGTCTATTAGAGGAAAACAATACATCGCCAGTTATTTAATTATTGTATTATTTGCTATTTTGGGGAGAGGCTGCCATTGGTTTTACCACTTCATGTGACAAACTATTCTGGGCCATTCCTGGTTGTGAGAGAGACTGGTAATAACTGCTGCTGTGATGACCATGAAACAAGGATCTGAACAGAATATACTTGCAGTCCAGGTATATTAACAGGTGGAGCTGGACCACCATAATACAGTACTGTAAACACGAGAGACAGACATCCACTTTCCTGCTGCTTCATTCAAGTTCACATTTAAGAGCGACTTTTCCAAGAAAAATTATCTTGAATCTTCATGAAGAGAATTGCACAAAAGATCAGTATTGTTCATTTCTTGCTTATTAATGTAAAATTCTAAACTTATCCCATAAACAAGCTCGTACCCATGCTAAGCTACACACAGTTACAATGTACCTTTTGTCAATCTCCCTTTGCTGCTGTAGACCTCGACAGTCCTCACGACCTCATAGTGACAGCTTCCATGGAGACGTCCATTTCTGTGTCCTGGACCAAAGCCAAGGGCCCCATTGACCACTATCGGGTCACATTCGTCCCTGCTTCAGGAATGGCCTCTGAGGTTACTGTTGCCAAGGACAAGTCTGAGCTTACGTTGTCAGACTTGGAGCCTGGGACTGAATACACGATCTCTGTTGTTGCTGAGAGAGGCCGTCAGCAGAGCCTTGAGATCACAGTGGATGCCTTTACAGGTACTGAAGGGCTTCTCGGGTTATTTGTGGTTCTGGCATCGCTCTCTGCTGGGTAACTGTCTCAGGGACTACGCTAAACAGGACATGAGGAGGTGTGATTAAAATCTTCATTTAAAAAATATGAAGCCCCATGCATCTGCTTTGAAGGTCCTAGAAGTGAATCAAGGCTCTCTGAAAGAGTATGACACAGAGGAAATTCAAATACAGCATCTCTGGATCCACAACCACCCTTAGCTCATAGCTGTTTCCTATAATAAGGGTGCAAAAAGCTAAACCTCCTTCCTTGAGTACCAGTCCCTCAATCTCCGAGTCTCCACAGGACATCCTATAGGTCCTTCCACAGGTGTACCTAGTTTGGATGTAGTGTAGCAATTAAGCTATTTTTCAAGTGTTATGTGCAAGGCCAGCCCAAACAATGCTAGCGCCTTAAACAAGGCCAGTCTTGCTTGCAAGATCCTCTTTGTGTCCTCTCTGTATGGATTTACTTCCCTACCTCTTAGTATCTCCAGCCTACCTTAGCCTTTCCTTTTGTGGCAAGTAGTTGGTTTCAAAACACTGCTTTATTTCTCATGGGAGGGGTGCTGGAAATTGCTTGGAAATTTTTTCATCAGTTGCATGCCTTTTACTTAATACCAGTTAAAGGGTGGCTGGCTCAGTTTACTCTTTGATTGATTTGCAGATCCTTGGATGCATTTGTGCTATCGTTCCATTGCTGAATAAGACCCAACCTATCACTTTTAGGCTTGCAGCTCTATTCTGCCTTCTCGTTTTCAGGGTTCCGACCAATCACGCAACTTCATTTTTCTCATGTGACTTCCTCCAGTGTGAACATCACTTGGAGCGATCCCTCTCCTCCAGCAGATAAACTGATACTGAATTATACTCCCAAAGACAAGGAGGAAACCAAACAGGTCATGCTGGACCCTACCAAGAGACACGCCTCCTTGTCTGGCTTGCAGCCATCCACCGAGTACATTGTGTCCTTGGTGGCTGCCCATGGCCCTGTCAGCTCTGATCCCATCATTGGCTCCATCACAACAGGTAACAGAAAGACGGCATTTTCCTTTGTGGTTTGCTACTTGATTCTAACTTATGCTCAGAAGATATTCTTTTTGCTGGAATGGCTAGCAAGAAAATTATGTAGAAACAACAATTAAGAGTTAATAGTTTGATATTTAAATAAAAAGCTTAATCCAGTCCTAAAGCACACATTTAGTCCAAACCAGGCTAACACACACACATTAATGATCCCTCTTCACCAGGAACACTCCCAGTTTTCTCATACCTCTCCATCACTGTACCCATTTGGTCCTCATCCTGCCTTTGAGAAAATGTTTGCCTTTCCTTTGGCTAGAGTTACCTTTTCTAGTGTTTCAACAACACTCTTCTTCCAGGCCTCAACAGTTTGTTTGTGTTTGTGTGACATATGTCCTGTCTTTGGTACACTTCCATGTCAATGTAGATACAGAATAACTCCAAATTATCATAGTGAGCTGGCATTGCACATACTGCAGTTGATGACATTCATTTTGAAATGCTGAAACATACTCTGGCATAATTAGGAATTCCCCCCCCCCCCGAATATCCTTAAAAATCATCTTTGCTTTTAAACCAATATGGAAAAGATCATTAGTGAGTAAATGAATACAGTATAGTATACAATGAAGTCAATGAAGTGGAGTGTGAGGGAGCTTTCAGTAGCTGTGTGTGAAAGAGAAAGGGACTGTCAGGCTGCAATCATGTACCACACTTCAAAGTAAAGCCTATTGAATTCAGTGGCATTTATTCCTGTGTATGTGCTATTAGAGCATAATACCTGGTATGAAATAAGATTTAATAGAAACTCTTTACTCTTAGAAAACAACTGCTGGCGGTTCCACCATTAAACTGGGACTGCTGCCAGCAACCCAGCAGGGATTTGCAATATGAAAGCCCCACGTCCATATCCCAACACTCCCAAAGGCTTTTCAAGGGCAAAAGAGATCCCTTAGGGACTCTTGGAACCTTAAGGGAAGGTGCAAAGGAGGCATAAAATTAACAATTTCTGTCACTGGAAGATGACGTCATAAGGACTGGATGACCTGAACTTGCTCCCAAAAAATTCCAGCCATTGTGTTGCTTTTGAAATTATCAGAACTTCGTTACCAAAGAAATAATTCACTGCAGACAACTGTGTTACTTGAAACTCATTATTTCCAAATTCTGGCAACAAATAAACAGATACCGTATTTTTTCATGTATAAAACGACACTTTTTCCTAAAATAATTAGAGGGGAAATTGAGGGTCGTTTTATACACAGAGGTAAGGAGGGGGAGAGGGATCCCCCTCCATGTTTTGCAAAGAAAGTGTAGGGGGAAAGTGAGCAAGGGGGCGCGCGGCGCATCGCTTCCGGGCAAGAGCATGCCACACGAACTCTACTGCCTTTTTTGGCTTGAGGACCATAGGCGAGCAGGCTGGAGAAAGTGTAGGGGGAAAGTGAGCAAGGGGACGCGCGGCGCATCGCTTCCGGGCTAGAGCATGCCACGCGAACTCTGCAGCCTTTTTTGGCTTGAGGACCGTAAGCGAGCAGGCTGCCTGGGACAAGCAGTCGTTTAAGGCAGAAAGGAGACGCTCCAATGACGGGTTGCCCACATTCACGGAGGAAAGCCCTGCTGTCTCTTCCAAAGGCCGCGGGGAGAGTGCAATGTGCGCGCCCTCAGCGTAGAAGGCAAAAACGGGCCAGGTGGTGGTCTGGAGGAAACCGACGAGCAGACCAGCTGCGGGCAGCCCGCAAGACAGCGCTCACCCTTGCCTTCCAGGAGCACCAACCTTCCGTGGTGTGCTCGTCGGTTTCCTCCCTGAGGGCGCGCAGATTGCGCTCTCCCCGCGGCCTTTGGAAGAGACAGCAGGGCTTTCCTCTGTGAACTTTGGCAACCCGTCATCGGAACGGGAGCGGGTGGTCGGCAGCGGCGTTGGGTGGATTGGCTGCTCGTTTGAAGGCCAGCTTTCATTGCTAGCCTGTCTTTGCTTCGGCCGAGGAAAGACAAAGGGAGGCGCACTCTTGTTCGCAGCAGGTGGGAAGGGGAGACTCGGAGGCATGCCATGTTGCCGATGACATCCGGAGTTGTTCCCTCGCTAGTCGACGCAACGGTGGTGGGTGTGTCTTCCCTTTGGGCTTTTCCCTCTCCAGGCATGAGAAGCCCTGCCAGACGCTGGTCCACAGGGGAGGGACCATCACGTGTCTTGGCTGCCTCCTTTCTGCCTTAAACGGCCGCTTGTCCCAGCCAACCCGCTCGCCTACGGCCCTCAAGCCAAAAAAGGCTGCAGAGCTCACGCGGTGTGCTCTTAATGGGAAGTGATGCTCCACGCGCCCCCTTGCTCGCTTTCCCCCTACACTTACTTGCAATGAAAGAAATGTTGGGTTAAAAAAGTGAGGGGGCGTTTTATACATAGGGGCGTCGTATACATGGTAAAATACGGTATGTTCAGGTTTAAACCTGTAAAAATTGGGGACGTATGGAATAACTAGAGCTCATTGCCCAGTCTCAGTCCATTAGGCCTGCTGCAGTAATTCCCAAATTATGAACTGAGCAGGATGTTGTGGTGTGCTGCAAGCAGTAAGTCAATTAAATAATTACAAGGTCTCGTAAGCCCAAAATGCTAGTCTCCAAATACACTGCCATTTGAGCCTAAGCATATGTCAGTGCTCAAGGGTTGGTACCTCCCAATCAGGAGGCTTGGCCAAAATAGATGGGCAAAGGTGGTCTTTTATGTGAGGAGTAGTTCTTACTGTTGCAGATTCTAAAAGATAACCCATTGGGTAGTCAAGCATGAAGTGTTCCTTCTAGGGTTGTGTGTGGGGGAAATGGTCGCATATCTTTCATTTCAAGTTCCTTTGGAGATGTGTCTTTCATTTGCATATTTTTCATATATTGATCCTTTGATTTTATGCAAAAAGACAGGCTCTTGTAGGTTTTCCATTTGGGATTCCCCTGTCATGTTTTCTGGTATTTCAAAAGAACTAAATAATCCTTTCAAACTACTACAAAAAACAAAGACAAGGTGACAGAGGATCAGTCTAATAGTGTATGATGGCAGGCAACATATATGAGAAAGAACTCTTCATCAAACAAACCTAAACAAGCACTTGTTTATATTATCACATTCACACAGCCCAATAGTACACTGTCCAAATCACAGAGGCTACTCCCCTGCCCCACAACCCACATGAAAGCAAGAGAACCCATTCAAATCCCCCCAAATGCAGACTTAAACAGAATAAATAGAGTAAATTAGCCAGGTAACATTTGGGGTGGGGGGGAGGTCAAACAGAACATCATGCACATGCACACACACAGAGGGGGAAAATAGCATTTAAAAAAGTCCTCTTGCCCCAAAATCAAGAAAAACAAACAAGCAAATAAAAGCAAAAATACCATTTAAGTCCTCCTCCAACCAAAGATTTTCGATGATGGGGAGATTTTTCATCCCCACCCCCCACCCCCACCATCACTTGATGCCTCCTCTTTGAGTCCAAGAGACAGACCAGGCATCAGCATTAAAAAATAAAAAACAAGAAAGGGAAGAACAACAATAGCAACAACAACAAAACCTGAAAGAGAGACAAGTCCTGAAAGAAACTGGCGGCAGTGAGGGGGAATCCAAACATTAATTCCAGGGAGGTATGTTGGCATAGGCAGGCTGCAAAAATAATCCAAATAAATTGTCAAGTAGTCCCCTGCAAATCAAGGACAAAATCCAAAAAGAGAGAGAGGAAAGGATCCCAGATGGAGGCAGGCAGCAATCAAAGATGGAGGGCACCAGGAGCAGAGCACACAATTATCCCACAAGGAATGACAATAGCAAAGACTTATCACTGGTTACAGATTCAAAGTTGTTGCTTTCCCCCCTGACATTCTGATCAACCACCACAATGCTAGTGGATTAAACATTTCTCAGATGATTTGGGAGACAAAGGGTGAAAGAAATAGCTGTCACCATTCCACGTGGCCCCTGATTGTTTCACCAAACAAAGAGCTCACGCTACGTGCCCCTCAGCTGCCACCAGTTGATTTCATCAACAATACCTATTATTAACAATCGAGGTCCAGGCCATATGTCATTTTAAAAGAACCAAACAGAAATTGTTTATTGAGACAGGTGTTGACAGAACAAGCAATGTTGTTAACTCTCAAACAAACGATCTCCTTTATATGCTCTCAACCATCACTCTCCAGCCCAAACTCCAAATCTCTCTGTCTCAAAACCCTATTTAAACTCCTGCTGCTGCTGCTGAGTCTCTTATCTCTCGTGACTCTGCCCCTCCAGCACTCCCATTGGTTCTATGCAAATAGCATATGAATATTCATGACCTGGTTGAACACCACAATGGCATTGAAAGTTTACACAGAAAAGGGAACATAAAAGAAACACAAAACATTTTTTCTACTGGAACTACTCAAATCAGGACTAATATTCACAGGCGTCTCTAGTGTGACAACTGCTTCATGTGTGGTCTTCCAGCTGGTATGTGTGGTGCTTGTGCTGTCTAAAGTCTGAAATTACACACAGAATTGCAACTAGAGTTTCCTTTTTTTTTAGACTACAGTCCCAAAAATAAATCCCCCCAAGTTCTACTCATACTGTTATACTGAAGTAGTAGTAGTAGCAGTAGTAGTAAAGTATGGCTGAGCCCAGTGAAATCATATGTTCCAATGCTAGGGTTACCAGGGGAAATTTTCTCTGCAGTCATGGAAAAAAAAACCCTCATATTTCTTCTGCCACTAGTAGCATTTTGCCCCACATTGGCCATTCATTCATTTAAAAAAAAAAGAAAATCATGCTTCCTTGTTTCTTCCATTATAATAAGCCAGTTGTTTCGACCACTGCCTAATTGTTAAGATCTACAATGGCACAATCAACAGCCAAGCTCCTTTTTTCCTAGCCAACTAATTACTCCTGGGCTGCTGCTACACTAATCTTCACATCCATCTGCCCATTGTCTCTGTACTCAGTTTTGCTTTGAGGTTGCAGCTGGTTCCAAATGCAGTACCAGGGAATT